GTAGAGAGAGAGAGAGAGAGAGAGAGAGAGAGAGAGAGAGAGAGAGAGAGAGAGGTGGGTTTTATGAGTCTTTCTAGAGAACCGAGATTGGGAAACAAGAGTATTGAGAGATTACTACAATAGAATGTATAATTCTTTTTTAAAAGTTATTATATTTTAAATAATAATTGGAATGCAATATAACAATAATGGAGAGATTGAGGAATGAGTCATGCATAGAGTTAGAGCTGGGTGGGCACAGTGAAGATGTGCAACCGGAGTTTTATATGATTGCCGCATATCAATGAAGCTGAAGGGGAAGTTCTATAGGACAACTATGAGACCAACTTTACTTTATCGAGCGGAATGTTGGGCGGTCAAGAAACAACATATCCATAGGGTGAATGTAGCTAAGATGAGGATGTTGAGATGGATGAGTGGCAAAACAATAAATGATAGAATTCGAAATGAATATATTCGAGGGAACTTAGGTGTGGTTCTAATAGGTGATAAGATGAGAGAAAGTAGACTTAGGTGTGTTGGCCATGTGCAGCGCTGACCGTGTACGACATGTATTAAGAGGTGCAAGTTGGTTCAAGTAGAAGGCTAAAAAAGGGTAAGGGATAGGCCCAAAAGGACATGGTTGGCAGTAGTGAAAAAAGATATAGGGACTTATGACCTCATTAAGGGTATGGCTTTTGATAGAGCATAATCGTCGATCCCAAATAGCTAGGAAAAGACCTTGCGGTTAAGGAATAATAGAATATATATTTTATTTAATAGTTATTATTATATTATGTAATTATAGTATCTATCTTTAAAAAGTATTAACCTATAAAATGTAATTATCATATTTAAATTAACATTTCTTATAATCTAAGAATTGTTTTTTAAAAAATATTATCTTGTAGAATGTATTTCTTATATTTAGGGAATATATTTTAATTATTAATAATTCTTTTTGTAATTGTAATGGCTAAAAAAAAACACTCTAATTTCTTATACAAAGTACTATCTTGTAAATTGTAATTTTTATATTTGCTATATAAAATTTTAAATAATAAAAGATCAATAATAAGTTGTATTTGTTATATTTAATATTAGAATGTATGAAATTAGAATGTCAGCAAACAGGTTTTTAAAACATTGGTGGTCTTGGGGAAGGAGAGTGATTCACCATGCCCGATTCATTCATGAACTTTGGGCCGGGTATCGTCAGCCAGATACTAATGAATCTGAATCCCCAGACTTATACCTCATCCGGCTTAATTATTTGTTTCAACAGTTCAAAGAATGGGTTCAACGTAATAGAGATGAAGACTGTGGTCGCTCGTTTTGCTATTAAGTTGTATCCTCATAATTATATGCTCCATTTTGGACAATGTATTTATATTTATGATAACTGTATGCTTCATTTCTAATGTGAAATGAATGTAATGGTCAACAAGCACTCAAATAGGAAACAACCTCTAAATATTTACGTGTTTTTGTAAACTAATGAAAATACCTAATGCACTACTTGTAGGGTTTTTATTTTTTATTTTTTTGGGAACCCAAAAAAATATTTTTAATGATTTTTAAAAAAAAAATGATTTTTTTTTTTAAGGTCGCATTCTGCTTGGCCTATCTGGATTTTCAAAACACTATATTCTAATGTTCAAAGATTGACCTAGTCGATTCGATCTCAGGTTAGTGATTCAACCTCGAGAGCCTGTTGAGGTGTGAATAGGGTACCCCTGGGTACCCTGTACAGTACCCAGGCTAGTACCTCTGAGTACTGTACAAGCTAGGTTGACTGAGTATTGCATATGGTTAGATATACAGCAAGCGAGCGGGCATCGGCATTCATTTCTCTTTCTTTGATTTTGAGAGCTAAAGTCCCCCATTTTCACCCAAATCCAAGCCTTAATAAGACTTTTATTTGATCTATGCATTAGAAACATTGGATTTGAGAGTTAAAAAATAATCGGGATCCGGAGTTTTTTGAGATCTGAAGTTTCAAACAAGGGTCCTGCCCGAATTTAAAACTTTTGCAATTTCTTTTGGGTCGATTCTTGAAGAGCTTTGAATCGCAAGCCCATTTTTAGGTTATTGATCCAAACCTCGGCTTTTTTGCCCCCCAAAACATAACATAAAAATCTTAGTTTTAATAGATTTAAAATTCGGATGCACTATTCATCCAGATTTTCAAGAGCTCAGGTCTCCTAAATCTGAACTCAAAATTCCAAATTGGTTGGGGGTTTTGATTTGACTAGTATAAGGAAAGGTTTCATAAGGATTGGAGGCATAGTTTTGTACCAAGCATGAAGATTGGGAGATTGGCCCTACATTTTTGGGTGAATTTCATATTTTCATTTTAATTTCATATATTTGAAATTTTTAGTAAATCATTACAATTGATCTATAATTTTGATCTTCTGCTTTTCTACTTTTTTATTTTTCATATTTTTCCCATATTTTTGGGTTTTTTCAATTGTTTTCAAGCCAATATCATCAGCCTTCATATTTCATGGTTTATATACTTTTTCAATTGGTATGTTTTTAGATTTTACTAATTTTTTATTTTTGTTTTTTTTGGACATTTTTTTCCTTTTTTGGGGGCCTTTCCCGAGCCAGAGACATCTTGTTCAACTTGGCTTGGACAGGGGCCAGGTACTTTATGTGAGTTGTGTTTTCAAACAATGGTATATGCGTGTTGATTTAGGATTGAGTTTGACGGGTAAGAAACTTGGGTAGCTCCTTTTAACCCTATGTCCCCGAGGCTAATCCACTCTTATGCTCATCCCCCACCTTGCTGGTTCTGCTTGGCCTTAGGCACCTCTATGTGACCACCATCTGTATCAATGTTCGCATTATTGTCATCGTCATTTCCTCCTACATCTTCCCTTTGCTCCTCAACTTGTATTCCTCTTTCAACTTGTACTTCTCCCTCAACTTGTTCACCTCTTTTATTCCCACCTCCTTCTTCATTGATGGGGCCCATCTCTTCTTCCTATACCCTTTTATTAAGAAGTGGCTCCTCCACTTTCACTGGCCATTTTGTAGCTGGATCATTTACATGTATATGATCTAAGTCAATTGAACTACAGTCGAAGGCTGCCGTCCTTAGATACCTCTTTTGGAGGTTCAAATTTTAGTGGAAGTAGACCAACTTTTGATGGCTAGCAATAGTCAACTTGTTTCTCCTTAGGCATCATGCAGTTTTGCTCACACCCCGTAGTAGAACAGGTTTGAATACCTCGATAATATTTACTTTGTAGATAGGGTGCTCTAGTTCCATGTAGTTCTGACCATTTTGCTGAAAAGTGACTCATAAGCAATGTCCAGTATACTGTTAAAAAAAAGAAGAAATAATTCATAAGAAAGAACCTGACAGATAACTTTGATCTAGCTGAGCGCAATATCTCCTAGCCAGGTTGGTTGTGAATTTCCCTTAGTACATCCATGTAAATAGAAAGCTGAGGAAAAAATGAGGTTTAGTAGTTTATAAATGTGGCTTACGTTTGTTACAAATGCTATCTGGAAATTTCTTTACAAATTACTTTTTACCTCCTTCAGACTTCAATCTTCTTCCTTCCACTTTGCTCAAATCTCTCTATGGTATCTTTCACATCCTCCTTCATCTCCTGGTGAAGTGATTGTCTTGATACATGTCTGAATCCCAGGTTGAAGAAGAGATCTTGACTGCATAGACATTTAAGAGAAGATCACATGTTAATTACGTGAACCCTCATCAGTCATAAATTATAATTGAATATACGAAATTCGAACGGCCATATAGTTAGCATATAGTTAAATGTTTAAATGTTAGTGCCATTTACTGTGAATTGGCTTGCGCAATCTGTGTTCCATCTGTGATCAAATATTACCACAACTATTGTGCTCTTTGCTTGATCAATTGCTTCACAAAGTAACCCCGTTATAGGCTTTGTAGCCATGTCTGCCATCTTCGTCACTACCATTATGGATGCTGTGGCTGCCATTATCTGCTCGTAACTATTTAATAACTTCCTGCTAGTGACTGTCCCTTCCAAATTTTCTTGCAATCAAGATCCTGGAGATAGGGGCATTTACTCGTTGTTCTGGGGCCATCTTTTTGAGACTTGCTTGTGACCTCAAAATGGATCTCATGGACAAGAATGAGGCAGCAAACTATATGATGCCGAACCTAATTGATATTCACTCCCTCTCATCAGTGTGTTGCCTCATCAAAGCTAGGACTAGGAAGTGGTTTGATATGCATTTGTTTGTCGTCTTCGCTATGTTCCGCGATCTTTTTCACACTCATAAGCTCGCCAATGTCTTCTAGCATATGAATGAAATGGGCAGCACATGGACTCCATATCAAATGCAGTGGGGCTGCATAGGCCATGAGCTTACCAATGTCTTCAATTATCATTGTGAAGTTTCTATGCTAATTGATCGACCGAAATATTCATTTTCTATTAGTGCATCTTACTTAGTGCTCTGTTTTCTATTGGTATGTTTGCAGGACCAACCTGGTGTGTGGGGCCAACAAGCTGATCCAAACCAGTGGGCTGGAGCTTATTATGGTTATGGGCAAGGATATGATGCTTATACCTATGGAGCTACTCAAGATCCCTCTTTATATGCCTATGGTGCTTATGCTGGATATGGGAACTACCCACAACAGGCAAGAAGTAAATTTCCGTCAGTACTGTTAATGTATTTGTCTTATTGATTTCTAAGTTGTTTCTATTTTTTCTCGTAAAACACAATGGTTAATTGTAAATGCCTTCTTTAAGAGAAGAAATGGACTGTATGTCATGCTGATATTCTACATTTACTGCTGAATATTGAGCGCTATTATCTCGTCAACTAGGATTCTACTAAATAAATGTGGCTGCTTTGTAAAATGTAAAAAAAAAAAAAAAAAAAAGAAGGAAAAGCTTGTTATGGAGTCCATTTCTTATCCAGTCAAGAGTCTTGTGGAGAAATCTTCGTGCAATGATGGATTTAAAAAGGTTTCCGCTCTTAATTGTTTTCCTTTTAGAGTTTGCGGTTTGTTTATCTTAACGTGGTTAACAAATGATAAAGAACAGATATTTTGGTGAATCTGAAGATAGGCTTGACATCTTGTTTTAAATTTATTGGCTTGAAAGCTAGTTCAAAAGATTATGAATTTGGTAGATTCCCTAAGTTCTAAGAGATTATCTTGTTGGTTTGATTCATGCATTGGTTTGTCTGATTTATCGTGAATTTCATCTTATCATAATTAAAAAGCAAAATCTGTTGCTCATTCATCTTTTGTCTTGCTCAGGCTGAAGGTGCTCAAGATATGGTTTCAATGGTTGGTGTCATCCCAAATGTTGAACAAAAGGAGGAAGTTTTCGATCCTCTTGCCCCACCAGACATTGATAAGTGAGTGATCATACTCTCTATTTGAAGCACTTCCTCTTTCACTAGCTAGATGCCATAGATGTGATATTTGTGAAAGGGGTATTCACTGACTCAATGGACTATCTACAGTATATGGTACTCAGATCCCTGCATCCATCATCCGTTCTACTAATGGTTTGGTTGGAGATTAGGTAAACTGGGCATATGTACTTATGCCTCCCGTGATAGTTAAGTCTCCAACCATTTGTCCATAGGAATGGATGGTGGATGTAGGCTTGAAGCCTAATTGTCTGTTAGACAACTTTATAATTTGAACTATTAGATGTTTCAAATATTGTGGGGTATTCATTAAAATTTGGAAAGGGCAAAAAGAAGAAGATGAAAATATGTACAAATAATTATGTTAAAGGTTTCCAAATGAACCAATGAAAAATATATAATTATAAAAAAGAGGATTGATAAAAGATTACATTTCCTGCAGGAGCATATTGTGCATTCATTCCCTAAAAACCCTACGTTGGAGCATTTCTTAAGATCCCGGATTTGGGGAAATGACCTCTTAAAAAGAGTAATCTTCATATGCATTCTTTATGTGCGTGAAAAAACTGACGTCCTGATATTGAACATAGACTGTCTGAAATACAGTCATATCTAAGCATTTAGGAGCTCAAAATCCAACTCTCTTTTCATGGAAATACTCAGCTGGTGATCCTAGTCGGTACCAAATTTCAGGGAAAAGTTTATATAGAGCTGAGGCTCTAAACAATCAAATTTGAACCTATCTCAAAAATTTCACTAGAAGAGGTTGTTTTGGTGTTCAAATATTTTCAAATTGATCATCTCGATATCAAAAAGTATGGACATAATAAATTTTTTTTTTCAAGTTTTGGAAATAGTGTATTTTGTAATGCATAGTTGGACCGTTAATTTTCAAGATTTTCATAGATCGGTTGATCTACACTATTTTTGAAGCTTTAAAATTTATAAATAAATATAAAAAGATATTTTAAGGCTATAACAAAGATTTCTAATGTTAAAACCACGTTTCTCGATACTATTTGAAGGTAGGCTCTAATTTGATTGTTAGAGTCTAGGCTCTATACAAACCGCACCCAAAATTTCAAAAGGTACTCCTTAGTGGGTTGCCCAATGGAGTAAGTGTTTAGTGTGTGCCCCCGGAGTGTGCTATACATGCTAGTAATTTAATCCTCCCAAAATTCTTTGTTTGGAATTCACAAAAGAAACTTTTGATGAATGAGGTCGTAAATATATTTGAGAAAAATTAATAATCAAATAAGTATGTTTCCATGGCTTTATTGTTGATTATCTATTTTAGTTTATTTATTTATTTTTTGTGTGCTGGAATTTAAATGCAGGATGAACTCAGCTTACCTTGCTGTACATGGGAGTGCCATGGTAGGACGGCCGCTGTGGTTGAAAGCCATGCCACAACAGTCGGCATGAACTTAAATCAAACCTAATCATTTCATCCCGCTTTCTTTTTTTCTATTTTTTGTTTTGTTATATTAAGTATAAGTTTGGATTAATTATTCTATGGTGAAATATCTTGAGATGTGTGTTTGAAGATGCCTATGGTATAATCAGGAGAGAGAGAGAGAGAGAGGAAGTAATTAGTAGGTAGTAAGGTAAACGGAAACGGAAGTTAAGTTTTAGTAGT